AAAGAAGGAATAGGGTTCAAGGTTTACCTACATGGACCAATGGATGCGGGGACAAAGTTTAAGGTCAAATTCAGGACCGGGGACATAGGCTTTCGCGAACGTCGAGGAAGACATAGGACGGTAGACGAGGAAGACGATAAGTTCAAATGGGATTGCGGCTTCGAATGGGAAGACAGTGTTCATGTAGTCGCGGAATGTCCGTGGTACAAAAAGGAGAGGGAAGTGTACATGATTGAGCTGGGAAGAATACAAGTGACATACAGGGAGATTTTTGAGGCATGGAATAGAGAGGGGAGGACGGTAGCGGTACTGGGGAGTAGAAAGTGGTTTGAAAAGGCGGGAAGGGACATCGGTAGGATAGACAAATTAGGGAAGACATTTTTGAGCCACCTTTGGCAAAGTAGGAAGGAACGATTGGCCATCGGTGATCGGTCCTGTGGGAACAATGCTCCGTCCTTTGGAGGACGCGTGGTCAATGGTTTAACCGTTAAGGCATGCAAAACATAAGAGTACGCCCCCCCCCCCCCTCCCCTTACTGTACCGATTTTCAAAGCTCGACGAGGAGTGGCGGCGGCGTTGGAACCGTCTCTCGTCGTGAGCTTTCCGAAAATGTTGTCATTTGATTTTTTTGCGTGCTTTTTCATGGTGGAGTAATCGAGCTTTGAAGTTCGGTCCAGGGGGTATGACGACTTACAACTCATGGGGAACGTGTGTATGTGTGACCTGCGTCGAAAGCTTTTTGCGCTTGTTCATTCCCATCGCTTTGGCGCTTTTTTTGGCCACAGGTGACGTCCGACGACATCCGAAGCATGGCACGAGCGTTGACCTCGGAAGAACAGGAGTGCGTTATCAACGCCACGGTTCTCATGGGTTTCCTCAACCGTTTCATGTGAGGTAAGAATTTTCGTAGATTTCGTAGATGCATTTTCTACACACGTGACGCCGTAGTCTTCTGCAAGTAAGGCCGGTGCAGTCGCGTGACACGGACAACTCTTTCAGCTGTCTCATTCTACTCTGAGTAGTGCCGAGTACTACGGGTGTAAGGCCGGCCAGTAGCTTGCCACTAAGTCCTTTTTTATTTCATTTCTTCCGCAGATGATAAGAGTCCGGGATAGACTAGCACTGAGTTAATTTCAGGAATTAGAGAGGGGCGCATCGCTGGGAGCTCGGAAAAGCGAGGAGCGTCGAACCCTCACGCAAACATAAGCAAGTCTCTAGATAGGTTAATGATGACCAACGGTTGGTTTTGTTCACGAATGAATGAATCCCCAAGGGACACGCTAGGCATGACGCTGGAGCTGGAGCCGCTAGAGACGGGCAACGAGCATCTGGCGGAGAGCGGCTGGACGGCTGGGATATCGTTCGATCCGGAGGGAGACGAGGAGCTCATGGAGGAGGACCGCGTCATGGCCGAAAGGCGGGAGGAGCGGAAGAAGCAGGCTTGCGGAGGCTTCACCTGTGAGCACGTAGCTTTTCTCGCGACTGTAACATGTAGCAGCTGGGGCCGATAATTAGTGGCATATACGTGGCGATATTTTTGCAACGCCAATGCATTTTCTGTTTTTTCATTGGATAGTTACAACCTTGCTCTCTTTTTTTCCAGAGAATCACCAGTGTTGTTTCTGTGGAGTATCACTCGAAGAAGTGTGCTTTTGCTGGTGAAGTGAGTTAATTAACGTCTACCATCCCCGTGGCATCTTGGTTTTCGGCCGTCTGTTTTGTGCCTGCTTCAATTCAAAATCTGAAATAGATCAGTCAGTCCTATTGCAGGCGGAGGAAATTATGTCGAGGCTTGGCCTAGGCTGGCGAAAACCCGGCATATTGCTCCGTCCCGGCATTGTAGGGATGCGAAATCAACGGTCTAACGACTGCGGCATGCGTTTACATGAGTACACCCCCCTCCTCCTGGTCAACGGCCTAACAACTCAAGGCATGCGAAACAGAGTACGCCCTCCTCCCCCCCAGTCATGAAGATGCTGACTAGCGGAAATATGTCCGACCGCACTGGCCCCAAGGAAACCCCTACCAAGGAGAAGAAGGTCAACAACCCCCCCCCCCCCCCCCCAATCATGAAAAAGCTGGGTGGCGCAAAAATGGCCGAAAGCGCCCGCCCCCAGGGAACCCCCCCCTCGGAAAAAAATGGTAAGGAGCTCTGCACCGAAAGCGCGGGCTTCCCGCCATACTACCTGGGCGGGGAGGAGAAAAACAAAAAGGGCAACCCCAGGAACGCTCTCCGGGGGGCCTTCACCCG